TGGTGGAAGAACGTCAACGGCACTTCAGTCATCTATTTCTCCTCTCCAGTGGCATTGTAGATTTGATCATCCTTCACTGAAAGTGCTAAAGTCCTTGGTCCCTTCATTGAGTCAACTTTCTGTTCTAGATTGTGAGTCGTGTCAATTTGGGAAACACCATCGTGTTCCCTTTAGTTCTAGGGTTGATAACCGAGTGTCGAGTCATTTTTCTTTAATTCATTCAGATGTTTGGGGTCCTTATAAAGTGATGTCATATAATGGACACAAATATTTTGTTATTTTTGTTTATGACTTTTCAAGAATGACGTGGCTCTATTTGATGAAAAAAAGAAGTGAATTATTCGCCATCTTCCAGAAATTTTATGCTGAGATCCGCAATCAATTTGGCGTTCACATCAAAATTTTYCRTTCTGATAATGGYCGTGAATACTTGTCTTCATCTTTTCAAGAATACTTGGACCAACATGGCATTATACACCAAACTTCATGTACCTACACCCCACAACTAAATGGGGTTGCTGAGAGAAAGAACCGACATATTGTAGAAACGACACGCTCACTCATGCACCACATGAATGTTCTCAAACCCTTTTGGAGCGATGCAATGCTCACCTCTTKTTTCTTAATTAATCGGATGCCCATGTCTATTCTGGATGGTCGTTCTCCTTTTAGTGTCTTATTCCCCAACATGTCTCCGTTTCCGCTTCCTCCATGGGTATTTGGGTGTGTCTGCTTCGTCCATAATCTGGGTCCCGGGACTAACAAGTTAGATGCATGATCCCTTAAGTGTATCTTCCTTGGCTATTCCCGGACTCAGAAAGGGTACAAGTGTTACCATCCTAGTTCTCGTCGTTCTTTGGTATGTACTGATGTTACTTTCTTCGAGTCTACTCTGTTCTTCATGGAGTCCGGTGATGCTACTTCCTCCACGTCACCTCCTCCTCTTCCCCTTCCTGTGGCTGATCCTCCTCTGGTTCCAATCGTGCCTACGTCTTTGCCTCCGGTGCCACCGTCCGTTGACCATCCACCTATCCGTCACGTGTATACACATCGCCCACGTGTACCGGTTGTGCCTCCTCCGGCTTCATCACTGTCAACAGATCCGGCTCCAGATCCGACACCAGCCTCCGACTTTGATCTCCCCATTGCCTTACGGAAAGCTAAACGCACCTACACCCTTCACCCTATTTCCAATTTTGTTTCCCTTACTCACCTCTCCGCCTCCCATCGTCAGTTCATCTCCTTGTTATCCTCAGTGGTTGTTCCTAAGGATGTCTAGGAAGCCCTTACCTCTCCAGAGTGGTGTCGTGCTATGGAAGAAGAGCTCTCTGCCCTACCTCATAATCACACTTGGGACCTCACCGCTCTTCCTCCTGGGAAGCAGGTTGTCAGTTGTAAGTGGGTGTATACCGTTAAGTACTTGCCAGATGGTCGTGTTGAGCGCCTGAAGGCACAATTGGTTGCAAAAGGGTACTCCCAAACCTATGGCATTGACTACACAGAGACATTCTCCCCGGTTGCTAAGATAGGGTCAGTTCGTGTTGTCATCTCCCT